GGGCTTTTTTGTCTCCTCTAATACTATAGGAAGATAGACATGTTAATGCAGCCTCGGAGTTGTTGTTCGGGTCCGACACTCTCGGATCTGGGCCGGACCGACCGAGCTGACGATCTCGGCAACCATTTTTCCATAACGAGGATTGAAGAAAGAATGGTAGTAAAAGGAACGAAAGCAAAGAGCAAAAGGGGGAGAATAAATCCTAGATTAATATGAGATCCACATCCTTCGTCAAGTCTTTCTTTCGTCTTCTTGGAGCTTCCCTCATTTGTAGCACCTAAGTCGCAATATATATATGTTGTCGTCCTGAGGCTCATACCAACATCTATCTCTTCTACACGATTACAATGTAACTTGAAAATATAAAGACAGATCTTCAGTCGAGCTTGTTAATACGTCCCTGCGTATTTTCTACAGATGTAATGAGATGATTCAAAATAACGTCCAAATAAATGACCATTACTCGGGTGAGTTCCAACCGCTGCCTGTCTGGCGGGAAACATTCGTCTACCAGTGCCAACAAACCAGGCACGGGAAGTATGATTGAATATAGTTCCAAAAAGGATTGAGCATATGTTCTGCCATCTTTACTTCGCGCGAATAGACAAGAAATGAGGTCTATTCTTGGTCGAGATACAAGGGCAGCTGCAGCTGGCCTAATGCATGCCACATCACATGAGTCGCACGGCCCGCGTTGACTTCCCCTCCATTGAAGGGGGAATGAACTCCTCAAGCTCGCTGGCTCTGAGGCTGGATCTATGCCTCCCAATCACTATCTCCACATTGCTTTGAAACTTCTCCAATTTGACTCTGTACGGAACATCATAGTACGCGGCGCCAAGACAGCCATGGCCCCACGCCCCAAAGAGCTCTACCCACCACAGGACGCGTCCGACACCGAGATCGACGAACGAAGCCCTGGGACCCACAACCCCATCACGGTTCCAGAGGATCAGAGCGTAGCAACACGAACGTCGTACATGCCTCGCAGTCTCGAAGATACCGCCAAGTTGGTGCGTTCCGAGGATCCTGGCGAACGAGCGCTTGGACAGACCCTGCAATGCTATCAGATGCAGTTGATGTTGCTGGAGCAACAATACAAACGCTACAAATCGCGGTTAGAGGAAGAGCGGAAAGCTTCTGAGTCAGGATCGTCCTAGAGAATGACGTCTGCGTGTTCTGCGATGGACTGCCTCGGTAGTTACCAGCAATTGAACCGAGATATTTGACGTGGGCGGGAAATGGCAGATTACCCTCCACCACCATGATGACACCGGGGTGCACAGTGGTTGATATTGGATACGCTATTTGATGGGCCATCGTCGTGCTCCCCGAGATAATACGCGTCTTGTGGATAACATTAATGGATGGGTATATATGTCTCCGAGCTATATGTGGTTGTAATTACGTGTCCAGAAAGCAAAAGGATCGGTCAGTGACTATACATCCTAAATCCCACGCAACGCCATTTGTGCGCCCGGCCCGAATGCAAGTAAAAAGAAATCGCTAGTACGCAGTTCTTCACCGGACAGAAGTATATCAGGAAGTGAAAGCCTGCGCGAGAGCACACGCGCCAATGACTAATCTGGAGGGAGCTTCTTGCTCGGAATTTCATGTTGCTTTACTCTCCGTATGCTTCCAAGTGCAGAAAAGGCATGATACAGAGTCTGGGCCTGTTGAGGGATCGCTTGACTCGGATATTTCGACCGTAACACCTGCTGGAACAAGCGCATTACGGCGGCTTGGTTGTCGAGGTACGCAGGCTCACTGCCAGACGACAGGGCAGGGATTCCTTGGCCGGAAATAACAAAACGGCGCAGTGCGCCACTAGAACTGCTTTCACCGTCTAAGAAAAAAGCACCGCGTTGAACCGCCATGTCCGTCCGGAGCTCTCGACCCGAAGACCCGTCCGGTGCCGTCACCGTGCTGTACGTCCAAAGCGCAAGCGCGGCAAAGTATAGACACGTGGCGCAGAACCCAGTCAGCAGACCCGGCGCGATACATCGAGCGATGCGTAAGATCTGCCCTGCATGCCATGCAGCTTGCCGTAAATGATTCGGGTTGATGTGTTGGATGAAGGCCTCGTACACATCAGCAGACCGCTTCTCACCTTCCTTGCCAGCGTATCGCTCAAGCGTGCCCAGCGGTAGATACAAGGAGAGACAGACAGCCTGATGAATAAGGGACACGGCAGGGACAGATTCATGCAGTGGCTCTACGATCGCAATATTGAACTGATCGAGCTCTTGCTCCAATTCACGCTGCCACGACTGGAAGAGTAGACCAGTCCATGGACGGTGTAAGCTATGGCGCGTACGATTACAGTCGGCTACCATCAGGGACATGCCATGCACGGAGATGAAGGCTGCTAAAGGGAAGTCGATCTGGCGGGGTAACAGACCGAGCGTCGATGGGTCTCGCAAGACACCTGCAAGGGAAGGGAAAGCATCCGGGATTTGAGGAAACTCCTGCAGGTAAACATAACCCCATTCGGACGCCGTCTTTGCATTCCACAGCCTGCGAGAGCATGGAAAAGGTAGCTCTAGATCACCATATGAGAGCAATGCGTGTGTGGACAGCCGGAAGGACGATTGCACGTCATGGATAAAGAGATGGTAAACGACTCTACGGAGACGTCAGCGTAAGCATCGATTGCTATGGAAAACCAACCGCAAAGCGTCTGTAGATGAATCGCGCGTATACTTACCGTTTGTAGGATTCCGACTCAACCCAGTGATGCCATTTCTGATTCAGCGTTTCTTCGTCATCTACCACCGCGGGTGTAATGATGGGATATCCTTCGCTTCGGAGGTGCGATGCTCGGCGCAGCATCTGCCTGGTTATTAGCATTCTGCACTAGAGAGGAATTCCAGGGTGATAAAGGAAGATTGGGAAATCCCCGAAGCGCACCGTCACAATGGGTTGTGCAAAGCTTTCCGCGATCTCAACACGTCGTTTGTCACCACTCCAGAGTCCGATCTGTAAGATGAGAGTATATGCCTGTTGCTGTCGCAAATTGCGTGTGTTGGTATTGTCATTTTCATACTGACGAGGTCAGCCTGGTTTCCGTATCCATGGCACGCAAAGGGCCAACCTACCTTGCTACTAAGTTCAAGACGGGCTATCTCTAACAGGGCATATCCTAGACGTTGAATGGCGTTCACTGGGGACAGCACTGCTCCAGCCGCAGCCAGGGCTATAATCATCTCCGGACTTTCCTGGTTCAGATCAATAGTGGCTTCGTGGATCCATGAATCTATTTCAGATCTCTGATGGAGAAAGTAGTCCTGGATCAGACTATCTAGGAGCTCCGCACTTGGAAAATAATGCATCATTCGACCAAAGTCGCGTCGCTGGCATATTTGAACGAAGATGGAAAATGCCTTATCGCGACTCTCCTTCGATAGGCACTCAGAGAATACTCGCACCTCGGCAGCACCGGACGATATGGACCGGTCAAGATGTTTCGGTACCGACAAATACTGTTGATCCATATAGGCATTGTCTTCGCTGCGAGGGGTCCAATTGGACAGAGGCGAATTGTGATACGCCTCCTTGTCCATCAATCCCAAAGCTTCGGGGACACTGCGCCGAGTTGAGTATTGTGTCGTGCTGTTTGGCCGTTCATGGGCCAGGTCGTGATTGTTGAGAGATGCAAGGAACTCCAGGTCAGCCTCGGTCAAGCCCAGCTCAGGGCTAATATTTCCACCGAAAAAAACGTATTCGTTTGGGGACTGCTTTCATATGTAAGTGTACGATCGGTACTACAGATACTTGGGCTATTATTACCATTAGAGGTAACCTGTTCTGCTCAAAGAACGCCTGGTCGATCACTTCCTCAGCGGCGGAGTAGAAATCGTCCATAAGTCCCGCGGAGGAATCCTGTGGAGGTGGTTCATCTTGTGAATGAGGGATACCGATATCGTCCATCTGCTCGCCCGAGTCGGGAGACTCCGCCACTGATCGTTCTGGTTCTGCCATTGAAATGTGAGCAACACTTTGTACGGCTCAAGTGAGGTGCAGCGCCGCGGCCGTTGCTACTGCCAGTCTCACTTCTGCTTTAATCTTCGTCGGAGATATGGTGGACTTGCTTACCCTGTGGGTCTACAGCATCTGGTGTTCTCTCATCCTGAGGCCAATGACACTCGAGATTCCGCTTGACACATCGACGACAGGGCTTTTGGTCGTCACACTTGAGCTTGGACAGAGCACAATTCTTACAGGCTCGTGACACGCGCCCTCGCATGGCGGAGGCAGCGGAGAGTCTGGAGTCTCGTTGACCCGTGGAATGTCCTCGCGCATGTCGACGTAGGAGATCGCTATCAAGGGATTAGCAGGGTCAACGCGCGATTGCTAGCCAACGGTTCCCTAACATTCTGCCAAAGCCTTTTCCGCACTTGTCACAAACAAATGGCTTGTCCGAGGTATCTGGAAGGAGCAATTGTAATGAGCATTTCTACTATCTGTGGCCGGCGCGCTCAGGATCCAAGAACTCACGCGATCGCACATGGCGGATGAGATGATCAGGTCGTGCATAATGCTTTCTGCAGACGCCACACTGGTAGAAGCCCGTCCGAGACTTATCCTGTCTCTCCGATGGACTGTTCATATCTGTAGACATTGCGATATATCGCAGCAAGACGATATAGTCCGGGGTTGTCGGCCCCAACATTTGTTCTCGGGAGATGATGTCACGGGTTCAGGGATCGGCAATGTGGACTGCCGACGTGCGGAGTTGAAGCCCTACTTCGAAATGCCTCGGCTATTGGAGAAATAATATGAAACATGCATAACAATAGTGTGGTGCATAGTCATGGTATGCATTGCGTCTATGTAGCGGTAAATACTCCACATGAAACATACATGCCCTGAAGGGCTGGCACTATTCACTGGCCTTCACCCCCATTCCATTCAAATCCTCCCCGAGGACACCCTGATTTTTCACCTCCACTGGATGACTGGGAGTCAAGACGTACAACATACGAGACCAACCCTGGTTCGGGGTAACGTTGCGCCAGGCATGGTTCGTAGCTCGCTGTACAGCAACATCGCCCCGCTTTAACAGTCGCTTTTCACCACTGTCGAGTAGCAGCTCGACCTCCCCTTCTAGGACGACGCCATAGTCTAGCGAGACAGTCCGATGCATGGGACTGGTTGTGTTAGGTGGCATGTCGACAATCCGGCAAACGGTGCCCGTGGAGATGGTCAATCCCGGTGGAGAGGTGAGACGGCGTTCATAGTTGGCAATATCTGCGTCACCCGACAGCTGAGAAGGGAATTGGTCTGAAGTGTAGGCAAGACTGAAGGTAACTTGGTCGACGTCCTGGACGGGCATGTCCTCAGATAGACAATCGGAAAAGACGGCTTGGCCATTGTCGTCATGAGTGGTGACGAAGCGTTGGAGGGGACGGATATCTTTCTTGTGTTGGGACATTATGTAGGGTAAGGATATAGTGGAAAGAGAATATCGGTGATTGTGATGAACTTGAGACTAGAAAAGAGTAATGGCTTGGAGATCTAGTGGGATCTATATACTACTATAGGTCCCACTCGAGACATGCTGGTGGTGGATCTACCTTCGGGCTGCTGTTCGGGTCCACCGTCCTTGCCCTCGGAGGCCATGGGAACACGCCGAAGAATTGTCTTATCATTCATCTAGTCTATCTTTACATAACAGAGAAGTTTCATTCACCCCGAGCACATATCTGAAGCCGCCTTTATTTGCCTGGAATCACAGGAAGAGTCACATAGTTCTCGTACGCCGGCCCGAAATGTATGTGGTTGGTTCCCTGCAGTTTCTCCGGGGAGCTGCACCTCATTAGCATCGAATTGACGGGAAACACTAGAATAAATGGAAGGGAGGACATACCGATCGGTGGGGTCATTGTGTTGGAAAATTCCCGAACCCTGAGTATCGCCCGACGCCACCTCCAGGACGATCTTACCACCCTTTTCCACTACTACGTTGGTCGGCCAGATCTCTACATCTACTGGATAGACCTCACCGGGCATAACAGGCAAGACATCCGTGGCGAAGTAATCACGATGCGGCAAATACTCCTGGTGGCGCAGATGCTTCTCGTTCACCTTGCGCATACTTACGCGCAGCCAGCCTTTGGCCAACGGGACGGGGTCTCCAGCGGTACCAGTGTAGTATACCTCTTCACCAGTAGGGGAGATATAACGCAGTGTCACGAAGAGATCAATATCGGAGGGGAGCGGACCTCCCTTGTCAGGGGTGACAGATACATTTAAATGAGCGACGATATGGCCGGTGATCTCCGTTTCTTGTTCAAAAGCAGGGGTGCTGAATTGCACAAGCTGAGGACTTTCCAACGTCCCTAACGCGCGGTAATCAACCTTGAGCAAAGTGGACTGGGGTGCTTGCGTCTGCAGGTGGAGATCCGGAGTGAGGAAGAAGTTCGTGTATTGCGTGCGAGCGATGGGCCATTCGTTCTCAGTACGCCGAGTATAGGCTCTTTCGGCCTCAGCGTTGTCAAAGCCCACATTTCCCTTCCGGAGCAAGACATCCACCTTGGGTGCCTTGCCAGTACTCCATCCCTCGCGATCCTCTCCCTTAAGGAAAGCGTCAAGGAAGCTTTTTTGCAGTTCGACCTCTTCGTGGTAGTAGAATGGCAAGTCATGGCGTCCCGTGATAAATCGTAGATATTTGTGTTCTGAACCTGCATTCATATAGCCGATCACGTTGCCACGGAGGTGCAGGAGAATACCACCCCAGTTCGCCACAGAGAGTAGCGGGACCTTAATGTCCTCCATGTTATACTCTTTGGAGGCATAATAGGGTTCGTCGCGGAACCTGTGGCTAGCGTTGTCGAGCGTCTGGTCGTTGCGGTTCGCCAATAACTCTTCCTCTGACAGGTCACCCTCAATCGTATCGGGACCCCAGTTGCGGGCAGCGCGTCCAGGCCGGCCATATTGATTGGTGATTACCTGGCGATTCCACCAGAACTTGATAAAGGAGTTGGATAGAATGCCGCCATGACGGCATCGGTCGCGGTAATAATCGGACATCCCTTCCCAGGGAATGATGCACGATAGGCCCTTGGGCTGACGTGCAGCGACACGCCACTGGCTGCCAGCGTAGTAGCTAATACCCAGGAGACCAACCTTACCGCTGGACCAGGACTGCTCAGCGGCCCATTCCACTACATCGACGAAGGCTTCGCTCGTGCCCCGCGACATGGTGTCCAAAACGCCGGGCGACTGACCTAGGCCACGCTCGTCGGCTCGAACAGCGGCATAGCCATGCTTGGTCCAGAATCCAGGATCCGGAGTCTCCCATGCCGAATGGTCGGAGTGATGCTCTGGATTTACCTCGCTATAAGACTTAGCGTGGAAGCTGGAAAGAGTTAGTGACGGATCTTCCTGCGTGAAGAATGGAAAGGATGCCATACTCTTTGTAATGAATATCCTTCCCGTATGGACCATAGGTAACCAAAACTGGGGAGCGCTCGATATCTTTGGGTCGGTAGACATTGCACCGAATCAATCCGGCGTTGTCCTTCAAGGGGATCGTGACATTCTCTTCGTAGATGTAGGGAAATGAGGTTGTGTCTACGCGAGTAATGTCCTTGATGGGATTCGGCATCTTGGGACGAGTAATACACCAAAAAAAGTTACAATTGAAGAATTCAAATTAGAGATTTTGCCGCTGTACCAGTAGTATATTCGTACCTCTTGCACAACTTGCCTGCTCTAAATATTGCCTCTGGCGATGTTCATGTGGTCGGTTTCCTGGTCCCGACCGTATGTGGAGCCGAAGTGTAGGAGCCGAGGCTATCGAAGGCATAACAAGTACGATGTACTATGCATAGTGACCACAGTATGTCGATCAATGTAATAGCCGAGACCCACAGCGCGTACACCGGGAGGAAAGTCACACTAGTAGTACATACATATTGCAGATGCATGCCTGCCATGGCTGTCTCTCCTTATCTACTGCTCTCCCTTGTTCAGTTATCTTTGCTGCAGCTATTCTGTGGCCGTTGTTGGGCACATTGTTTCGAACCTGGTCGACATGTCTTCTGACCAGAAGGGCTTGAAGGTCCTCATTGTGGGAGCTGGGATTGGAGGACTAGCTGCTGCTATTGCGCTCCGGCAACAGGGACATGTAGTAGAAGTGAGAGCCTAGTGTGCACGCGGGTAGTTGACACCGAGACTAACGTAATAGCATAGGTATTTGAAAGATCACGATTTGCAAACGAAGTCGGAGCAGCGATTCACCTAACCCCGAATGCGAACGGACTCCTGAAGCGAATTGGGGTTGATGCACGAAAGTACGGTGCGGTGCTGACGGAGCAAGTATGTCAATTCAACATGGAGCGATGGACGAGGACCGACAGACTAACCATTGGGCTTTGTCCTCCAGCTTCGCGACTATACCTCCGATGGCGAGCTCCAGTACACTTTAGACACGAGTCTGATCGCCGATAGCTGGCAACATGTGAGATATACTTCTTTCCTATGGCGTATACCAGCTAACCTTGCTCGTTTAGGAATGGGTCCTGATTCACCGCGCGCATCTTCATGAGGCTCTGAAGGACAAGGCACAGGCTCCTGGCCAGGGAGTCCCTATTATTCTCCACACTTCCGCCAAGGTGGCAGACGTGGATCCTCAGAATGCAACCATAACCCTGGAAGATGGAACGCGCGTCGAGGGAGACTTGGTGTTGGGAGCTGACGGTGTTCACTCTGTGGCCCGTCGTCATGTGTCGGGTAAAGAAGTTAAGGCATTCAGCTCGGGTCGCAACGCATTCCGGTTCATGATCCCTCGCAAAGAGGTATTAGACGATCCTGAGACAGCTCACATGGTGCAAACAAACGGAACGCTTCATATGTGGCACAGTGCCGACCGTAAGGTGGTCATTTACCCTTGCGTGAACAACGAGATATTGAACTTTGTCTGCATTCACCCAGACTCCCTAACCAACGAGTATGTCTCCCACGGCTGGAACCAGGGCGTGGGCAAGGACAAACTACTGGAAACTTTCAAAGACTTTGAGCCTGGAGTCCTGAAAATGTTGGACAAGGCAGATCAGGAAACACTGAAGATATGGCCACTGCTGGATATGGAAACCCTACCTCAATGGGTTAATGAGCGACTAGCACTAATGGGCGATGCTGCTCATCCCTTCCTCCCTTATCGGGCCTCTGGAGGCGCCATGGCCATTGAAGACGGTTTGTCGTTGGCGGTTATGCTCCCTGGAGACGTGAAGAGGGCAGATGTTCCCACACGACTGGGCCTATACGAAAAGGCTCGCCAGGAGCGTGTGTTGCAGATACAGGAGTACACCCGAGAGTCAGGAAGGAGGCACGTAGGTGGAAAGGAAGGTATGTAGACACTTTCTGCTTGTCTGACAAGGTGCTAACTGATCCCCTTTTTAGCCGCCATCATGACGTCGTACATATACGATCACGACGAATGGGATCATTCCAGTGAAGTATTGCGCCAGCACCTTTGGGCCCAAAACAAACAGGTTTTGTACCGTCAACCAACCGTGTTTGGCCCTATGCCAGGGCCGCGCCAGGACTTTTGGGGCACAAGCCGAGCGGCGGCCTCGAGCAAGGCGACGTTTTGCACAGCATCCGTTCGGTTTAAGACGAGCCGTACTTTGCTGAAAAACCTGCTACCAAATTCGTCTTACAGCTTCACTGGTATGGGAACCGTGGCTTACGCAACCTTCTCTCAAACCACTCTAGATGGTCTAGATTGGCTCGCCGGTGGAGGGTACAACCACTTCGGGCTATACATCCATGGTGTCCAATACAGAAGCGCAGATGGGAAAATTACAGAAGGATCTTACCTTCCAGTTTTATTTGAAGATCTGGCGGATCCTATCCTATCTGGCCGCGAGGAACTGGGATTTCCGAAGGTCTTCAGTACCATCGATGTGAATAGACGCCGGCATTCGTACCATGTTACTACCAGCTGGCGGGGCGGAGTATGGGGTCGGCTGAATCTGACAGGGCTTGAGGAGAAGTCAGAGGAGCAACAGCAGGCCAATGGATCTACGAAGACACCACCAAACCTTCTGCTGCACCGCTACATGCCTGGTGTAGGAAAGGACCGGAAGGGGACCCCTGAGGCGGAGTATCCTGTTGTGGTTGATTCCGCTGAAGACTTGACGGTTGTACCCTCAAGGATCACACGCGAGCTGCGCGCCACTGACGCTAAAATAGAGATTGATGGGTTGGACTGGAACCAGCTCCCTACGATCCATCATATCGTCTCTCGCTTGGCTGAAGTTCCTGTGTACAAGGTTATAGAGGCTAAGGTTGTGGAAGGAGAGGGGGTGCCAGACGTGTCATCTGCTCGGAGGATTGACTTGTAAATTATAAACTAAAGGATATATTATACATGTAGATATCTACAGCTATTTGATGATGACAACTTTAGCAAACCTAGGCAATCATGAATTAATTTTACCCCTCCTGGTGTCCGTGGTGTAACTGGTATAGTTCGTTGCCGTCAACTACCGCTGCGCAACTAGACAAGCTGTGCCCAGATCTGGGAAAAGTATATTGGGCGAGCGGTATAAGCAGATGGTTTTGGGTCCAGGCAGCTTACAAGGTGCCATTTGTAATTCTCAAGTGACTAAACTGTCTACTTCAGACACCAAATGTAAAGTTTTAATGACTGGTTACCTTGCATACAGTTAACGATGATGGCGAAGCAATTGGTCGATATACTCAAGCTTCACCTTACCAAGCCCCATTCTCCTGCTTCGAAGAAGACCCATGGCATGAAACAATAACAATACTATTAGTGTATAGACCATTGGGCTCGAGACATTGGTTGTCCATATCTAGGATATGAATTATAACCTTGGATGCATAGTGAAGTGAGACAATAATATCATTCACATAAAACCAGCTTTAATGTAGACCAAAAAGAGACGTTATATTGTGAATGTTCAATTGTTTAGATATCAGTTCACTCGCTACATAGCCGATAGACCCATCTACCACTCGCCCCCAACCTCATACCGAAAGATCCTATCATTCACACGTCCTAATGTGTTATGCCAGAGCCGCGAAACAGCCTATTATTCCCCCAATGCTTCATTAGTATTTGTCCATTTCCCTAATCACAACGGTTCGGTATGTCTACGTACCGCATTGATCCAGACGCCGTGCAACATGATCTGAACGAAAGCCACTTCAGCTGGGTGACTTCCCGCCGAGCGCTCGTTCCAATCCAGATTACGATTAATCGGTCGATAAGCAGGTACTCGAAGATGATCCACCGGCCAATTTGCTGGTTGTTGGACTGAAGGTTGGACGGGTGTTTGGCTCGGCGCGGAGGGGGCTTGCGGCTCGCTGTGGTGCAATTCGTAGTCCGCAAGAACGGATACCGTTCTACTTGTAATCGGATTTTCAGTTGTGGTAGTAGACATGATTGAGGATAGCCCGCTTGCAGCTTGGTATGAAGGTGGCCGTCTGCGTTTGTTGAGTATATGACCAATGCGTGTGGGCTGAACAGCTCAGTGAAGGGCGACAGCTAGGGGAGGGATGGAAGGATAATCTGGGGTAACCCCGATTCTAGCCACTGTGGGCGCAGTCCGATGGCTCTAAGGGAAGTGCCGAAAGATGATAGATCATGTGGTATGCTGCTAGCGTCCGAATCATATCATATCGTCGCAGCTCATATCATGGCTGTGATGTGGTCCCGAAACGTTCGGGCCGAGCGACTGGGCCGAAGTGGGTGACCAAAGGTTATCCACAGCAAACCTGGGGTATAGCTATGCTGATCTGCTTAGGAGAAGCGGACGGTAATATTAGGTGCTTCTTTTATTGATCTCTGAATCTTTGCCTCGAAAGTCGACAGAGCGCAATTCCAAGGTTTCAGCGCAACTGGACAACATCAATATGGACTCTAAATCCAATTCTCAATCGCACCCCCCACAGTTTTCCGCCATTATAGCTGGAAACATCGATGGACGTACGGATAATATTCGATACCGCCAGAGACAATTCCACCGTCTCCAGGCGAGCATCCTCACACACTTGGCGGAATTGAAAGAGGCTATCTCACAGGACTCGGGCCACAGCGTAGAAGAGGTGCAGACGGAAGTCTGTCTGGCGTTAAAGGAAATTCGCTCTCATTACTCTGGCTTGAGTCTCGAGAAGAGCGTGCAGCTAGAGTACCGCGTGGCACGTGGAGAAGACCATCTGAACAGGAAGAAAGGTGCCGGCATTGTCTATATCATACCTACCACGCACACGACGTTTTATTCGGTCATTGCCGCACTGAGTGCAGCCCTTGCGGCAGGAAACTGTATAGTTCTGGAGGTATCCAAGGCCTCATTATATATCGTCTTTGCACCTTCAAGTGATCTGTTTGCGCTAATAATGAACACAGCTTCCCAAAACGACTTCGAGGGTTACTGCCCTGCTCCGCTCAGTGCTCCCCAGAGCGCTAGATAGTGATACATTTGCTATCAGCGACAGCCGCCCCGACGCGGCCTTTCTCAGAACTACTCTTGTTTTGGATCAGCAGTCGTCTGAATGTCCTACAGGCTATGCAACCCTGGAGTTGCCAAACACTCTGCGGACAGTGGCTGTAGTAGACCGAACAGCAAATCTTCAGGAAGCAGCGGTGGACGTGGTCCAGGCGCGGTTTGCGTTTGATGGTCGCTCTCCGTACGCTCCAGATGTAGTGCTGGTCAACCAGTTCTGCATGCAGCCCTTCGTGGAACTGGTGATCAAACACGCTGCCAAACATCTGGGGAGCGACAACCATGGCGCGAATTCACTTCCTAAGCGCCCCAGGCAGGCCTCGCTGCTGGACAAATTAGGGTCCGAGGGAGTCAAGGTCATCGTTTCTGGCACCGGCTGGGGTGTTGCACTGCTACAGAATCGGTAAGCTGGTCAGCTCCTAGTGACGGCGATATGCGTCATCGTCTCATAGAGGTTTTGTCTAACGGGGCATAGTGATTCTCCCTTGTTGCGTGCCAAACTCAGTGAGAGGTTACTACTGTTGCACCCTGTGTCTAGTTTGGACGATGCGATCAATCTCTGTAACGCGTATGTTATTTGAATTACCCGCGACATCATCCTCAGAATAACGACTAACAATGACGCTCCCAGTTCCGGTACGCATGCTGCCACATACACCTTTGCGGCTCCAGCCGCAGCCAAATACGTGTCAGAGTCAATCGACGCGCATACAGCATGGATAAACCACGTTCCGTACGACATACTTGGTATGTAGAGATTCATTTCCATCGGATTGCCTCTACTGGCCTGGTCTCTTCCGGACACTGACTATATATCTTTCCCTTAAGTCGGGCCCGTCGTGCCTCTCAGCTATGGTGGGAATCTCCACACACGGTATACAACAGAGGACTTCCAGGTTCCCCGGCCTCAAGTCGTGAACCAGACCACGACCACGGCAATCGCGAAGGCTCTCTTAGCAGGAAAGTCGGTTCAGTCAGATCGCACCCTCCAGGAAATTCTTTCTCCCCTCCCAGAAATCCAACAGCGACCCGGGCACAAGATTGGCTATTTTGAGCAGGGTATCATTACAGGAGGGCTGATCACTCTCACCTCGCTGATCACGATTGTGTCTGCTGCGGGATATTGGGTTTTAAGAATGAGGTAGATGTGGTATTGTTGTATGATTAGCGATAAACCGTTAATTTAACCAAAGTTATATATTTTTTTGCCTCGGGATATCAATCTGTGTTTTTCTATATGAACGATATTAGATCGAAAACATATTAAAGATACAACGCTGGTGATATATATAAATACAAATATATATCACAAAAAGATAAAATATGGCCACTAGTATACGAAAGGCTCGGCCATATGGGACTGTTCACCCGCTCACGGTGATCAAAGGGGCCGTTATGATGCAGAGCCAAGCGTAGACTACGGCATGTTTGCGAGTTATCTCAATCAAAGGATCTATTGTAAAAGTAAATTTAATTAAATCATGACAGTGTACACAAGAGAAAATATCATTTATGCGGCCACCTTTGGCCAAGAACTAATAGTAAACTGCGAATTACACATATTCGTGAGTTCCCAAGTTTCGGTGGCCAGAATAGCAGGCGTTCCCTCATCCTCGAAATCACCAGCTGCGCCTGCAACGAACATGGCAGCCATAAAATGATCATCTGTAGCGTGCGCATCGCGGTATTCTGGATGCTTCATCAGCCGTGTCATGGCGCGTCTCAATTGTGGCCCGGAGGTCTTCGTGAAGACATCCTCGACGGCTTGTCGGAACTCCAGTGCCCAGTGTTCCGGGGGTGTATCCTGTGCGAAATTGTCGCGGAAGCGAAGCATAGGGGCCCACCGATTGCGGTACAGATTGTGAACCGCCCCGCCGGTTCCGATAATGAGATAGTTCTCTTTGCGCAGCTGGCGGAGGGTCGAGCCCACCTTCAGATGGAAATGGGGGTCATATCGGGCATTCATGGAGATGATGGTGGATGGTGGGCATCCGTTGGGGAACATGCGGATCAAGATCAGATATGTATCGTGGATCCAGTCGAAGGTGTCGTTGCCACTGACATTGTACCCGGCCTCGTCGAGGAGGTCGATACAACGTTTGGCAGTCTTCAAATCGGGGTTGAGCTTGTAGTCGACGTACTTCGATGGATGAACATACGCGACGGGGCTCTTGCCAGGGTTAGGGTTTGTTGATACCTGGATTTGATCGCCAAAACAATCCCAATGGGCTCCCTGCCAAAGGTCAGCGAGTGAATAATTGAACCACAGAATAGCCAGTTTGTCGACGCTGACTGACCATCATAATAACTCCCTTGATGCCGTTGCGGAGAGCCTCGTCACCACATTGTTTCCAATAGTCGGCTGAGGTCGACTCCTCACCCAACATCATGGTCGAGCCATGGGAAAAGAAATGCACGGGGGTTAACGCTGCTAAGGGTTAGGACGTGAATTCCTGGAAAAGAGACGACAACTAACTCATGTCTAGGGGCCTTCTATCACGAATATCGCTGTTCCACTGTTGCACTGTTTCTAAAGAGATACCAGGATCATGATCTATATCGCGGGCTGAGGTAGACATCGGATCCCCATATCATGGTTCTTCGGTACGGTGGTCCACATTCCGATCACCCCGTTTCCATCCCCCGCAACTATCTTCACCACGATGCCGATCTCGGGTGAAGTGGAGTGGCGAACGAAAGCTGGACAGTTCTGTAGAGATACTCATCGCCCCATGCTATGATCTCAGGTGATATTATGTTTAACCTCGGATCGGGACATGCCTTGAGTGATCGTATAGTCCCCCGGGGCTTTTGACTAGTTACATCTAGCTAGAACCTTTATTCCAGAACGTGCCCAACCTCACACATATTCAATCCCAGAGTATATTGATTACTACCGCCGTTCCGTTCTTCTGTCAGAACACGAGATTGGCCTCAGTTGGTTAAGGAAGCTGTAGTTCCTCTGGTAGGTGACATCTCACGGGTGGGTCCGGTGGGTCGAGTGGCAGCGTTCCAGGGATCAACCCTCTAGCCCAGGCGTTAGTTCTCAGGTTCTTTGTTTAAATCTCGGTCCAGGCCAAAGGCGTTCGGTGATGACGGCAACTACCAGGAAGTGTGAGCGGATTGGTCACTTTGACAGCAATGCGGTACTGTGGTTTCACATAGCTGTGACTCTCTGTATCATTTTAGCCTGGAAAATGTTTAGATATTACTGGCCCGCTCGTGTTGTCTAATCTCTGGAGATCGCAAGGTCGCACTCTAGGTTGTAATGGACGCTAATGCAGGGAAATAAATGGACAGAGGCTGCGCGCCAACGGCAAACCTCTGTCCTGCAGGCTGCGTTATTGTGGGGGGTCCTGCATTAGGTTAGAACAGGGCCAGGGCTAAGAATAGACATCGGTAATGACAGACCATGCTCTATACCGGCGGAACTCTCAGGATAGTAAGATGCGAATCCGGGGAACGAAACTTGTCCTAGTTTGCCAAACCCCTTGACGGTGGAGATACTTAGAATGAGGCCCACAATCTTAGAGGTTGCTGAGTGAGGTAGAGTTTTCGAATGTTAGACTACTGGTACCCACAGGAGCTCCCTGTAAAACGAAACAAAGAACATTTACGACCATGGCTGAATCCAACGTTGCTGTGAGCTTAACTCATCGGCATTCTAGGGAAAGAGAAGCGAGCTCGGCGTGCCAAGCGATACAGTCTGCGATGCCGTCCTCCTCCGGACGGTTTGATCGACTGTTGCCCTTTACATGATAAGCTTTCAAGCTAGCGTCGAGTCTACGCGCCCTGATTACCAATAATCGTAAGCTGGGAATGCAAATCACAAGGCATACGCTGCCGCCAATGAAGTTAAGGGGCTCGTGTTCTCGCCTTGATCGCCAATGGCCCGTTCTATATCGGCTGTACCGTTAGCCGAAAACACTATTCGTCTGTCCTTGGCAAACACAAGTACGGAGTAGCATGAGGCTGTTCTGATGCGAGTTATCTGGGGTATTGAGGTTTGGGCTGACTGGAGCTTTGATTTAGGAGACTAATGCACTTGATATATACTGGGCAACCATCGCACTGAGGTTCACCTTGGTAGGGTCTTTATCTAAGTTATAATATACATAGGAATACATCTTCAACAAGCAGCTGACTGACGTGGCGTAACCACCGTAGAGATTGTATCTACACTGGACTGTTGCATCTCCGAGTGTGCGGCGTCATTTCTCCCAGAATCACTTGGACAAGTCGATGTGCTGTTGTGCTCTTGCGAGCATGAGCATAGGTGTTCCGGATCACTCTCCAACGGCGCCTTGCAGATTTGAATCAATTGGCTCAGGACGGCATATTCCAACTTCAATTTGATACTGTATGCAGCGGGCTTGAACATCATCTGAATCGCGAGGTACCCGGCAAATTGCACGGCAACGACCGCCACGTCGAGTACCATGACCACAACATTAATCATGACCAGCCGAACAAGGATCCGACGGTGCAGGGTGTCCGGGCGAAGTCGCAGTAGTTTTACTGTTTCAACGATATAGATCCCAGAGATGAGCAGCTCCTGCAAACAGAAGCCCACGAGCTGAATCCGCTCCATCTTATTAAATGCGAACGCAAACCGTGCGGAAGTGCGATGGTTCTCATCGACTATCAGGGCTCCATAAAGGAGAACCGTCGTGGGAATAAAAAGAAGAATACTGTCGACGATGATGAGGATGAGGATGGCACGGAGCAGCTTTGGTGCCTGTAGGATCAGGTGCAGTCGTGACCAGAGTACAAGAGAATGGCCTGCCACGACGCAGTACCAACTTGGGATGAGGATGGAGGTGGAGACCCAGCGAGAGAGTCCGAAGTAAAAGATGAAGAAGAGCCATCCAAGGACAAGTGGGATCAAGCCAACGGAGGCGATCAACAAACTCCAGAAGTAGCAACCTCTGTAGCGCTTGAACGTCGTCAGACATATAAGTACTAGTTCCACGGCATTGTACCAGGCAATCGTCGCGAATACTGTAATGGTGTAGGTCTGAACTTTGGTGACGCCTCCTGTCGCTGGCTGGATTAAACCGGGGTCCGGGTCGGTCGGCATGAAGATATCATGTTTCCCAATTGAAGAGAGCCCGCTTCGTTTTTATGCTTGCGTAAAGATTGGGTCAAGGGACTCAGGTCTGACACTTCTGTGGCTCAAGTACAGCGGGTGAGCGTCTTGATTAATAGGTTTCTGAAGTTGAATGCGCAGGTGAAGTTGAAATTGATATGACAGATGCTCGGGCTTGTATATAGGTCGCATAGTCGGGATCATTCCATGGATTCTAACCACAACTCAAGCAAGTCTTGGGTCTTGTAGGCTATTCACAGGTACCACCAACAGGGGTCCAGCGATTATTTATTGTTGATTCAGTTGAGGGTGGCTGCCAGACAGGTTTAAGCTTTTCCTGGTCCCCATGGAATGCTTAGGGATACATTCTTTGGAGCGGCTTTGTATGAGACTTCCCACCAGGCCGACCTGACGTCAAGATCCATGCTGTCGGTGTCGAGCAGTATCGTCGGCCTCAGCGACAGGAAAAGGGCACTGCATTGGTAGGTGATGACCTCCGCGGAGGAAACCTTGATTCCATGGATCCCAACTGGCCATGTGCCACAACGGTCTAGACCAAACCCTATGACATCGCTCACGATCCCCTGAACAAAGGTACAATGAATCACTCGCCCGAGAATAAGATTAGCAGTTTAGTTTAGGTCTTTGTACGTTCATAGGCCGGTTGAAGCTTTCCAATCATGTATGATCGTCGGGGCATATGGTCCATAATACAATGGAACGTCGCCTATCCACATACCTCATGCTCTCAATTGTGATGCAACGGTCTTGATCAGGGGCCTTTGTACTGCGTTTGCATAATCCATAGCTCCTTCAGTGGTCTTCGAGTCCGACTCTCCGGGAGAAGAAGCAACGCATTTGCCACAGCTGCAAACTCAATGGTCCGCCTACCATTAGCATTGGACCATCCATATTCTATTCCTCAATCATCCCTCATAGACCTCAACTCCTATAGAACCCGGACGTTGATGATTCGCCCTCTAACCAGCCGTCGAGTTTCAAAATAATCCCCAAGCATCTCGATAAGCCACGTGTCTCCGTGGTTGGTAGCGCGCCCGTTATACCCATGTCGACTTAGTCTCTCCGGACGGAAGTATTCTCATTCTCTAGTCTATCGTACCCTGTCTATGTCACATTCCCCTTTCCGCCAGCCTGCATGGCGCTTATCCTGATGGACCGTGGTCTAGGGCCATAACAGGCATCGCCTCCTCACGTGACGAGCGCTGCCGCAATTCAGGCCACTCGGTAATCCCAGGGCAGTGTTGGTACTAATATTTTAGACAAGCAACGTCCGTTTCACTCACGGCCTAGGATGATTTTGCTCGGTCAACCGATCTCGCCGAGAGGAACCGCACCAACGTTCACCAGAAATGTCCCCCTTCCGAGTGTTGATCGCTGGAGGCAGCATCACCGGGCTGTCGTTGGCGCTGATGTTGGAGAAAAATAATATCGACTTTCTGGTTCTCGAAGCATATCCGGACATTGCACCACAGGTTGGAGCTTCTTTGGGCTTACAGCCTAATGGACTCCGGATTCTTGACCAGTTGGGCTGTTGTGATGAGCTTCTGGAACATGCGAAGGGCCACACCGTGCAACACAGTATTTACCGGGGGCCAGACGGGGAGAAAATGTGGGAAGCCAGCAACCTAAGCGATGAGGCTATAGAACGGTATACATTAATAACCCCTGCTTGTGCAAGTTGTCGTCTAATACGCCCCTGTATAGACACGGGTATCCAATACCGTTTGTAGACCGACAAAAGGTTCTTCAAACACTATACAACAAAGTTCAGGATAAAAGCAAGATTCTCACCAGGAAGAAAGTAAAGACCATAGACAACTCTGAGTCGACTGGCGTAAAGGTTACTACGACAGATGGATCTGTATACAGTGGTGATCTTGTCGTCGGTGCCGACGGTATTCATTCAATTGTTCGCCAGGAGATGGCACGTCTAAACGTAGATACTGGTCGAGATTACCTGGAGGAGAAATGTGAGCTCCGGTCTCATGTCACCTTTATTTATTCCTTACTTCATTGTCCCCGTTTCGAAACCCTGCAACTGAAACTGATCGGTACCAATAGCATTCTCTGCAACCTACTCCTGTGTCTTCGGAATTTCACACCGAACTCCTGGCATCGAACCTTGCACCCTCCAGGACGTGTTTAACGAGAAGTTCTCTTACCTGGTGGCCGACGGGCCTGGCGATCGTACCTATTTCTTCCTGTTTGAACACATGGACAGGGTGCGATTTGGCCAGGAGATTCCTCGACTGACGGAGGCTGACAGAGACGAAATCGTCGGCAGACATCTCAATGATCCAATTACCCCAGAGGTCAGGTTTGGTGACATTTACGCCCGTCGAATTAGATCCGGCGTCACTCCACTGCAGGAGTACGTATTTAAACATTGGCATTCTGGAAGAATGATCGCGCTCGGGGATGCTAGTCATAAGGTTGGTGGATATCTAGACTAATGTCAGGAAAGAGAACAAACGCTGACGCCGAACACACAGCTTCATCCACTACCTGGGCAGGGAGCAAACTGCTGTCTCGAAACAACAGCATGCTTCACCAATGTCCTTGTGAAGCTGCTACGCGATACACCTCCTGAAACGCCTGTTTCGGATAGAGACATTTCCAATATGTTCGAGACAGTTCAGCAGACCCGTCGGCCAAGGGTTAGTTGGCTCGTTGAGGCAGCTCACAGGCGTCAAAAGCTTGAGGCTATGGACACACCCGAACTGAAGTCGTATGTTGCGACGAGGATACCAAGTCTCCCGGTCAAGGTTATCCACAAGGAATGGTTAAGGACCTTTCCACCTGCGGTATCGCTGGATATGCTCCCGTTACCTAAGAGACCACATAGTATTCCGTATCATGATGAGCTTGGTGTCCAGAATAGCAAAGAGACCCGCAAGGGGTCGAAGTTATAATGTGGAGATTGTCTGGTGTTTGTTCGAACTCATGCGAACGCGGCCTTCCGAACACCCAAGCAAGAAAATGGAAAAGAGGAGAGAGAAAACACATCACGCAACACCAATGGGTCCTACAGTCCATGACTATAGGCGTGGACGTGACGAAACATCTTCTAGACCGTATTGCCCAGGATAAAAGACACATACATTGGCCCCTATCAGCCACTGCGGGACTTCAGAAGCCTTGCTTTCCTGTCTACCTTTTCATGCGATCCGAGTATTTCTATCGTTACATCATCTGATGTCAGAATTTCAATAATCGCTACATATTATATGGAGACAAATATTGCACTGTCCATGACACCCTCCGTCCCACATGAGTCATGACACACCCTGAGGAACAATTGGCAGCCTCATAACCAACAGCATTATAGAAGATTCGTGTGTCAAGTATTCTCGTGCATTTCTACCCATTACTTACGTATTCCATGGCCTTTAAAATACCGGACAACGCGTGTGGATTACAAGTCGACGTCGCTAGCAGATGGAATGATACCACGGGGCAGCTTGCTTGTATTCGCCCACACGCGCTCCTTTCGCCCGTGCGTCTTCATATGTTTGACTGTGTGGGGAATAACCGGCTACTGTCAAACACACTCCTGTCGTAGGCTTGGCATATTGCAAAGCTGCTTGGTTAACAGACGATGCACCAATAGTCGGGCTCATCCAGGCGAAGAACTCGCTGGTGGCGCTTAGCGTAAGGCCGATATGTTCAAGAAACGTGGTCATGAATGCTTCGGAGATGCAGGGTAGCATGCCACCAGTAGCACGAGGGGTGAGTGATATCTGGGGAAAGACGTTCGACGATCTTTCCCCATCCACCGGTCCCAGTCCCTAGGCTAGTGTAGCCGATTCTTGGCTGCAGCTTCTTTCCCCTCACATAAAGGCCAAGCCTGGATGGCGATAGGACCAGTCAACGCATGTGGGCAATTTACGCAGCTCCGTATTCATTCTCCTCGTACAAATGTATTCCGACAAACCTCCGTTCGTCCTTATCTGGGGGAATTAGTGCCGAGCGACGGCCGAGTGGAGTTGGAGTGATTGGCGGAAAAAGTCCATCATCTCATTCTGCATGAAGGGTTCCTTGAATATCACTGTTTTACGCCGTAAAATGGTTTGAAGGTCTGCTCTCAGTTGATCCGGTTATAAATGCACTCGAAGTCCCTACCTCTTGCAATGATCCACTCTGCAGCATCTCGATTTCTCCTCATCTATATTCACCTTGACCCTCTACGATTATAACCTCGTCCGACAAAATTTACCTAGCATTGTCAACATGAGGTTCGGCGCTCTTGGACTTATTGCCACTTTGTTGGGCCAAGTTCAGGCAAGTCCTGTCGGTCGAGCATCAAAGGCGCCCTACTTCTTTCTCATAGGTGACTCCACCGTTGCTGTAAACGGCGGTTGGGGAGATGGCCTTTTAGCCTACTTAAAGGACCCAGCCAAAGGAGAGAACAGGGCAGTGAGCGGAACCACCACCGTTTCCTGGAAATCCAATGGACGATGGGACGATCTCATTGAGAGCATTGAGTCCAATGCCGGTGAATATGAGCCGATTGTTACTGTGCAGTTCGGTCACAACGACCAAAAGACTCTCACCCTGGACGAGTTCACAACGAATCTTGAAAGTATCGCCACTGACATCAAGGAGGCTGGTGGAACTCCCGTATGACGCCTTCGCTATCTGCCAGTATGAAGTGCCTATTTTTGCTGATGAGTTGGACAGATCTTTATCACCTCCCTGACTCGCCGTAATTTTGACGGCGACGAGGTTAAACAAGACCTTAAGGACTGGAGGGACGCGACCATCGCCGCTGCTGAGGCCGTCGGCATCAAGTACCTCGACTTGAACACCGCCAGCACCAACTACGTCAACGCCATTGGCGAAGAGAATGCTATGACATACAACCTTGCTTCTGATGATCGAACACACCTGAATCCTGCAGGCGAAGCCGTCTTCGGTCGTATGACTCTTGACCTCTTGTTGGAGGCACGCGAGGATCTCGGTGAATATTTCGAATCCAACGAAGCGTTGAGTGAAAAGATTGCCAATGGTGAATATGCCACTGGAGATGAGTAACTTATTTACTTTGCGTGGTAGGAGTAATATACTGCACTATCCACACAATTACGGGGTCTTTTTGCGATTTATTCATAGTCACCATATGTATGTATCAGCTTTTACCATCAGCCGCCGGTCGGTATAAAGATACCGCGAGATGATCCTGAAATCAGCCCTTTTAGAATCTGGAATTTTAGGATTAAATTGTCGCACGCGCCAAGCCGGTAATTCATATTTTATGATTCTCTCTGCCACTCAGGGCGCGTTGTTTATATAGAATGACGTGCTCATATCCAACGATTGCTCTCTATTCTTCCGACTACTAAAGGAAATCGGCTCATAATTACCCTGTGCCGAGCCTCCCTTGAGAATGATTTTGCCATGAATTTAACACACGTAGTGTAGTCTTTCTCCATGATATGCAAACGCGTGATCCTCTACAAATATATAGCTGTCTGGTATTCTTATAGATATTTTATTCCATTACAGGTATCAATTATGCATTGATTTGTCCCCAGGGGACAATGCTCGTATTGCAAATATTACTAACAAGGAAGACACCGAAGTTGGCATTCATTGTTGTGTCTAGACAGTTCATACCAAGATAGCAACTTTGACATCACATCTACCAGAAATACTATGCTATAGAGGCCAAACAAAAGCATTAATGAAAATCTGTCAAAATTCTATTCCTTGTCGCAACTGACCTATAACCGCAATCCGTCAGTTAGATACAACGGATCGACAAGGCAAATCTTGGTTAAAACTAACTTTATCATAAACCGGTAGAACTCCTCTCTGATCTTGCAAAAAGCCGTTAACGTGGAGATCCATGGTTGTCAAGTCAGGTAAAGATCAAGAAGCTATTCAGGGCTACTTGGTGTATTCTTCGCCGACATCCTTCGACGTGGACGCTCCTTGTTATAGAAGCGTGTAAGGAACGCTGAGGCTTCTGTTGATGACTTTCGCCTGGGCAGCCGTCGCCGAGAAGCTTGTGGGGCACCGATGGTATCGGTAGATGAGAGTTGAGATCGGCGGTAGGAAGAAATGGGCATTTGGAAATACAGTATAGCTTCAGTTCATGGATTAATAGTGAACATTGAGGTGAGATTAAGTGGGCTGGAAGGATCTATTTATATCATTCCACAAGGCAACCCAATACAACCATATTACTTACGTTGTGTGTACGTCAGACAGAGCGATAGAATGATGTCCAGCAAAATGAAATCTTGTCAGGTCAGGGCAGGTAAGTGAGCTTGGTAAGACGATAATGATGCGTACTGAGACACTTTCAAGGCCTACTGATATATTTAGTCGCCAAAAACCGGTTCAAAACGTGCCATTACACTGGTTGACTTGGCCACACTCAGCTACCTGTACTCCGAGCAAAATAAACTTGGACAAGTTCATAGATAAACTGGACACAATTTACACGCACAATATCTGGGGGCAACGGTCGATAACTTAAGATCTTGCTTCATCGGGGATCTTCCTCAGCATGTCACCGAATCCATCCATCGACGCCGGCATTAATCCAGAAACGGTCCCATAACGTGGTTTAACAGGATAGTCTGACAGAATGAGCCTGCCATACTATCGGATTCGGAATCACCCAAGCATGTTCGAAAGCTGACAGCTCTTGGCTGTCTTCCTCCTCGATGTGCTGCACTACGTTGGCCCAGAGGCTTTAACTATGACAATTGACTCAGGCCCACAGGGCCGAAGCCCTTGGAATTTGTCGAGGTCTTCCTATACCCATGAAAGTTTACTTCCCAGTAACTTCACCTGTGCCTAGCTATTGAATAAAATAGGTACACTAGGAAGGCTTGGTATCTGATATTTATGTCGATCCAGATCCGGTAGAGCAACTTCTCCATCTTTGGGTATACCGCGAGCTCTTCACCGATGGGAATGGTGGGAAAACTCCCGGCTCAATTGGTTCTGCCATCGTCCATTTTTGCTCTTGGTTTTGGGGCTCACAGTTCGATTACAAGTATCCTCCAATTCGCGATGATCGCCCTTGATCAGTTCGGATACGCGTACAGCTCCGGAGCAGTAATGCATGAGAGACCTGAAGGCCTTGAACACATCTCCAGAGCAGTGCAGTCTCTCGTCCGAAGCAGGATTTCACGTTGCCATTCATTGGTTTGTATGTCAATCCAGTGATATGATACACAATCGAAAACAGCCCACTGGCATTTCGCGTGTTCTTCTACCGCGAAGCACAATACCATCAAATTAAGGTCAGCAACCGCCAAGTTCCAGTATATTGCCCTTATATGGCTTTCCGATATTTGTCTTCGAAGCTCGATAGACAAAGTCACATCCCAAGGATCTGACGGCTGTCGGCAGCTCATAAATTACCATCGAGTCAAGTCCAGAAAGGATCACTAGGGTCGAAGGTCACTTGATTTAACCGGAGAGATTGGTATGTTGCTTGTTTTTTCCACAACAATTGCTATACTTGTAGGGCAGAACATTGTTGAGTTGAGCGTTGGGGCCTAGACACCTTGGATACCGGGCCTCCTTTTTCTCGTCGTATGCGTAACTAAGTCATCAATATGACTTCATCCCACGACCATGACTCACTCTCGCCTAAGGAGTTGGTGCTTCTGCATTTCATTTGCAATATTTTCTTCGTCCCCACAACTTGTCACATAGTCCTGCGGGATCAGACCACTTTGAACAGTCAAACCACGACAGGAATAACATGGATCGAAACTCCACGACCAAAGCCCTCTCTCTATGGGAAATACTGCATCCCATCCTCATCAACCTAGACATGCGAACTCTTCTCCACGCACAGCGAGTGTGCCGCCTTTGGCATCACATCACCACTAAATCAAGGAGCCTTCAGAAGGCCCTATTCTTCCTGCCCGTGGAAGAGCGTCAGGCTACGGCCTCTGATGAACGACGGAGCCAGATAAACCCTCTATTCAGGGAGATTCTCTGGCCTCAGCTATCATGGCTTGCAACTTGCGGTCGCAAGCTTAAATACTCGGAGCGCAAACGACAAGCTAAGACCCGTAGGATTCCAATTCTCCGTTCAGAGAACGCTAGCTGGCGGCGAATGCTCATTCGACAGCCCCCACCGATTACAATAGGTATTAAGGGCGAAGATGAAAATTTCTCTCCAGCCCCGATCATATATTATGACGAAGACATCTCCACTGATACTCTCTGGGCCCTGACGAATATATCCTTCTTCGCCGATCACTGTTTCACGCGATGCATATTCAGTGGCGACAACAGCTGGAAGGAGAGCTGTCCGCAGGAAGCCGAGCTCATCTCCGACCAAGATCTTAAAAAATGTGATATTTTAGTTATGGGGCACTGGCCGCCTAATTATCTTCTCAGGATGATGCAATGGATCCTGAGATACGAAACCCACTACACCGGCCTATCTCTACGGACAGACATACACCCACCATTGCTCGATTTCTATTACTTGTTTAAAAGAGATAGATCGCTGATGGCGCACGATTGGACCTTTGTCATTGCCAATCACAACGGACCAGTTTGGACATATAATGTTGACGACATGGCTCGGGATGGTGAATCTACTCTCGCCGGCGACACGTATCGGACTCAGCTGAATCCTTTGACTGAGGAAGAAGCAACAGTGGTAAAACAGATTGTGAACCATGAATCACTTCCTCGAGGAGTTATACCTGCCGCGAACTATTTAAACCGGTTCTTGCGTGTTATGGCAAAGCTGTTTGAGAAGGGCATTTTGCCAAAGGTTGTGTTTGAAGAGCATAGAATCATCTACGGGGTCCGTTGAGTGAGACCTCTGAATGGGAATGTATAAGTCACAGTTGTTCCAAGTCTTCCCTATCTTGTTTTGAGAGCACACCGCGCTTGCTTGTTCTATCTTTCATGTCATCGAATCTTGCTATATTGTTCTATTTATAATAACGTATATGCCCGAGTTTAGGTATATGTGAAATAAAGCTAGTACCACTTGGTTTTTTCCTTACGCCGTTTACTACACTGCCTTGGATAAATACATATACTCGATTCATACTACTTCATTACCTGAGATAGCGCACTACAAGTCGGGCAAGTAGTACACCGAGAGAACGAAAAATGTCCTTCCTGATAAACAAACTTGGGCTTCAGGCATGTCTGCACATGACGAACAGCCACACAAGGGGAAGGTAGCTTTCTGTTCGGATAGTCCGGTCAAAGTAGCACCTCCTTGGCAACTACCCAGAAGTTTTAGTTAAATTTAATATCATTCTCGCCGAGGTGGGGTTGGGAAGGTGTCAGTGGAGATTGGGCGCGGGAGCGTTGGGACGCTCGTATCTCAACACTTCCATATTGATTGTATCGTAATTCATAATATTCTTACTAAGATCCGCTAGGATTGAGTAATGACGTTTTCTGATCTCCGCCGAAACGAAATTTATTCCTCTCCCTAGCTGGTTAGCACGAAAACCTCATACCATACATAGATAATCCTACACTTGCAGCCTCGTCATGGTTGTCGGCAGCTGCTTCTGCGGAGAGATCCGCGTAGAATATACCGGCGAGCCCATCACATCGGTGAGTATATTCTCTCCAGCAAGTGGCTGGTCGAGTGCTAACATGTCCGATATAGGCATTGTGCCATTGTTACGACTGTCGCAAACTGACCGGGACTCTCTTCACCTACAGTTTCGTCGTCCTCATGGCAGACCTGAAGATTTCGGGCAGTCCCAAAGAGGTGGCCAAAAGAGCCGACAGCGGGAATCGTATCAAGAACTACTTCTGTTCAAATTGTGGTTCGTGATTGGCAGGTTCCGAATTGAAGTTAATATAACTAAAGAGAATTGGCAGGGACACCGATCTACGGGCACAAGATCCAGCCGTCGGGGATTCCCGAGGAGATCACCATTCTTCGGGCCGGAATCTTTGATGATATTGAGTTTCTGGACCAGCACAAACCAAAGGCAGAAATATTTAGACTCGGACGTGTCAAGTGGATGTGCCCTCTGGAAGGGACAGATCAATTCATCGGCATGCCGCCGCTGTCGTAGTGATCTTGAAGTCTTGATTATTAAAATAAATAATGTACATAAAAAGAAATGAGGCATACGTCAGTCTAGTCGTATTCTGTTGGATTATCTACTTGAGTCAGTGTATATGATTTTATTTGTTCCCCCTCGTATTGGCTAATAGCTCTTCGTGTAGATGTTGGTCTAGCAGCGAACGGCGCAACAGGTTGAGGCTATGTTGGCGAGATCTCATCCCAGCGACTGCAACCCTTCACGGCAGGCTTGAGGGCAGCTGTAACCTGCACCGTATTTGTAGTGATGAGCAACCTGGTTCAATACATGACCAACGTCAACAAATGGGACGGGGGCCTGAAGGCCGGTTAGTTCTACGCAGGGGTCGGGTTTCCATTTAGCCTCGGAATGTGGTTCCTGATTCCGGAGACTTCAGGGTAAGTCATCTCCGTATGGGAGCTGTGATGCCTGTCTCAATGTCCGGGTATGCTAAATATAATTTGGCCTAGACCCTCTGCCGCAGAGTTGGACGAATTGTTCGAGAGGAAGATTAAGCCATGGCAATTTCACAAAACCGAGACCGCTACCCAACGTTTTGTCCAGATCAGTAGAGCGGAGGATAGCTGAGAGTGTATAATGGCACACTGGTGTACGCCACGGGTATTTAGTGTGAGAGCTACTGTGGTCTTGCCTGAAATTTGGATTTACATGATCCGATTCCCCTTCTCCAGTTCTTCATAGCTATTTTGCTGGCTGGCACACAGGTAGTAGGCTTGCGCCATGTAAATATCCAGCGTAGGATAGAGAGGAGGAAGACTGTCCACAGAACGTTAGATTCAATCTCGTCTAGATGCTTCCAAACAGTCACGTCATATTATGATCCTAATAAGATTCTAAATCCGGCAAAGATCAGCCCCAGCCCCTTGATTCCAACTTTCGCCTCGGACTTCTTCATGGAACGCTGAACGAAGGTCCATATTGAAGTGTCTTGGCTACGATGGCTAGTTTAAAATCAACAATATTTTCTTCCGTACTCGTGCCCCTGCTCTTTGCTTCCCATGGGGCAGCAGTACCAAAGCCATCGTCCTGCAATGCCGACGCGCGTCCCTACTCAGCCTGGATGGCCGACAGTGTCATCTCTCGCGGACAGGCCGTCTTGCCTCCGGGAACAACACCCGAAGCGGCGACCTTTCTCCAGATAGGTGTTTTTCAAAACGCTATCCTGCGTGTGAAGGAGTATTATGGTTCCCTAGAAAGCGCGTGCGCACAGGCCGATTGGGATGCGTACCTGGAAGAAAGTACGCAAAGCGTCACTCCTTGGCTTCTGAACACCACCAAGGATACTCAGTATCCTCTGGATCGATTCTCGGACGGAAATGGTCTGTTTTACCAGTGAGTCTACTAGATGGAACCTAGCTGGCATTATTCCTCAAGAATATGGTCCTCGTTTCTCGAGAAAGCGCTCCAGAGCTCACAAACAGTTAGATATGACAAAACGGCAAACGAAACCTATAAGGCAGCGCTGGATGCATTGCAGCAGTCTATCTATATGCAACCTAGAAATCAATATGGTATGTAGATGCCATAAAGAAAGAATAGGCAAAGTGATGCAAAGCATTTCAGGGCATATCTTTACGCATTTTTTCAGCCTTTAGAAAGCTAACTATGCATAGGAGGTTACTGGTATTTCAAGTACCCAAATTGGAGTTATCTTGATGGGATGTACTCGCTCATCCCCTTCTATTCCACCTACACGGCCAACTTCGCGGCAGAGAATAGTAGTGCCGTAGGACAGGATCTTGTCTACCAGCTCGATCTCCTCTGGTCCCATTGTCGCCAGAACAACACCGGCCTATTGGTCCATGGCTACGACGCATCGAAAACGGCCATCTGGGCAAATCCGGTCACAGGTGGGAGTCCAATTGTGTGGATTCGCTCTTTGGGCTGGTATATGATGGCCTTGGTAGACATTCTGGAGATCGCAGGCCAGCAAGGTGTCCTGAGTCAGGAGCAGTGGAACCATGTCCACGAACGATTCGTTAGCCTGTCTAATGCAGTCATGGCGGCGGCTGATCCAGACACTGGATGCTGGTGGCAAGTCATGACAGATCCAAACAGAGAGGGCAATTACATCGAGTCTAGCGGGTCAGCAATGTTCACATATGCGCTCTACAAGGGTGCGCGACTCGGCTATTTGGACGGTATCACTGCGAAAGCCTTGTTACCAGCAGCCACCGCTAGTAAATGCTATGGTCATCTTCTCCAAGACTTCGTGGTCGACAACAAGAACGGAACACTGGGCTATAATGGCACGGTATCCGTCTGTAGTCTGAGCTCGAATGCAACCTACGAGGTATGTTCTCCATATAACACAATACCTATTGATCAATATTCAGCTAACGTGCGGAACAACTCTAGTATTACGTCCACCAGCCTCTTCTTTACAACAGCTTGCATGGTTCTTCCTCCTTTGTTCTTGCAAGCGTGGAGCACGAGCGTGCCTCTGATTTGTCTAGCAATTAAGGATGCTCCTTACCTTTTGAATTAGACAACAATTTAAATTGGTTGACCATGTATCCCTACTATAGACGACAGCCATGAGGTCATTTGACTTGATCGCTGTGTAAACATCATCCCCTGCGGGTTTTCCAGAAATATTGCTTTTCCAACTATCCTCATGACCGACCCTACATTGCGATAACAACCTCCATATCTCAACAAGTGCGTGGCTTTTCATTGCCATGGTTCCTTGTCAATGAAGCACTGGCTACCCTTGTTGGCAAGCTAGAATATCGCAAGAAACCGGGAACATTGGAGTACAATCCGGTTTCCTTTGGTATGACCAAGGAAGTCAAAGGCATTATGTCGGTTCATAGTGAACATAAGATCAGCCGTAGCTTGTCTCTGACTAAAGCCACCACCAAAAGGGCTGTAGTCCTGACTCACTCGCGGTCTGGGCCAGCCACATCCTGAGACTAGGAAGTGGGTCGTTGATCCTGATAGACCCCTTACAATTTGCAGGCCTCACCCCACTGTGGAGCTTAACAGTATCCGATTATAGATTCGCCAGGTGTTGATCTTGTTGTATGGTTCTACCCAATGGACCATGTCTCAGGCCTGTTCCCAGTGAGAAGAGCCCAAGTAAAACATAGTCTGCTGTTGGAGACATGTCCGATGGACAGTCCACAATTGCATGGAATATTATAAGGCTAGCTTTTCGATCTACGTTTATTGGGCGGTCCTTTCAGTCAATCCTTATAATCGTCATGATATTAGTCATTCTCCCACAACGACATGAATTTATTTTATATTATATTATTTTGTGGCACAGAAACTAGAAGCTAGGGGACCATGTTACTGTGAAATCATGACCGAAGCATACGAATTTACCTCATTGGTCTGACTCACTTTCCGCTAACTAGTCAGGACTTTGTGGTTACTTTTAAGCTTGACCACGATGCAGGTACGGAGTAGTGAAAAGTGGTGCTATTGAACGTCAGGTAGCCTCGAGATATTGGCCCTCTAATAGTCTCGTGCTGATCTCCATATAGGTTGCGACAATGATCTAGAGACTGTCATCCATCAATACTCTCCTAATCAAACATCCCTTCTGGATAAAACCGATCCACAGATTGCTGATCATTGCCCAGCTACCACAATAGGAATGTCCGTTCCTAAGCCCTATCTTGATACCACTTGTCTCAGAAAGACGTTTATTTCCCTGGCCTTCATTTCCACAACGCATATTCATCGGATAGTACATCGACCATTGTCAAGATTAAGTCTTGGCATG